CCCCCCCCTCAAAATACCCCCAAAATATCCTCTGGGACCCCCACACTGCACTGGGACCCCCAAAACACCCCCTGGGACTCCCAAAACACTCCTAAATCCCCCCTCTGGGACCCCAAACACCCCCTTGGGACCCCAAACCCCTGCAAGCCCACTGGGGTCCTGGAGCGGGCTGAGGCTGCCCAAGTGTGAGACCCCCCCAAAATACCCCCAAATTATCCTCTGGGACCCCCAAACACCCCCTGGGACCCCAAACATCCCCTGGGACCCCCCCCACTGCCCTGGGACCCCAAACATCCTCCTGGGACCCCCAAACATCCAGCTGGGACCCCCAACCCCAAATAGGGACCCTCAGACCCCCCCCAGGGTCCCCCCCCCCCCCATTCCCAAACCAACCTCCCCCTCCCCCCCTCCCCCCAGTCGAGCCCCCCCCGGCGCCCCCTGAGGTGGAGGAGGGCGGCGATGACGTCACACCGAGCGCCAATGACGTCGCGCCCGAGCCCGATGACGTCACCGAGGCCACCATCCGCCGCTTGGGGGCGCTGCAGCTCCAGGAGCCCGCGGGGGGCGGGGCCGAGGCCGAGGGGGCGGGGCCTCAGCAGGACCCCGCCCCTGTGGGCGGGGCCGAGGCCGGACCTGGTGCTGCCCCCTGCTGGGGGGAGGACGAGGAGCTGGAGGAGGTAAAAGGGGGGATTTTGGGGGGAGTTTGAGGGGAGTTTTGGGGTTTCTTCTCAGACCTCGGGGTCCCTCCCCCGGGTTTTGGGGTCTCCCCCCTCAGACCTCAGTAACCCCCCCAGAGATTTTGGGTTGTCCCCCTGCATTTTAGGGTCCCTCCCTCCCTGGATTTTAGGGTGTCCCCCCTCAGATTTAAGGGTCCCTCCCCCGGATTTTGGGTTCTCCCCAAAATGGTTTTGGGGGTCCCCCCATGATTTTGGGGCCCCCCAGCCCAGCCCATGGGATGTTTTCTCCTGGATTTTGGGGTCCCTACCCCCGGATTCCCCCTCCCCCTTTAGATTTTGGGGTTTTGGGGTGTCCCTCCCTTCATTTTGGGGGCTTCTCCCCCCTCTCTCCTTCCCCCTCCCCCCCCAATTTCGGGGTCCCCCTCCTCAATTTGGGGGTCCTCCGGGCCGCCAGGGGGCGCTGTTCGCCGTGACGCCGCTGCCGGAGTGTCCCCACCTGGGGGCCGTGACCCCTCCCCCTCCCCCCGGGGGGGTCCTGGGGGGGTCCCGACCCCCCCCCTGCGGGGTCTGTGGGAGCCGCCGCGAGAACTGGATCTG